AATGTTAGACAGAGGGGCAGAAGTTGAAGAGGAGACAGTAGGGGCAGGGAGAGGGTACTGAGTAGATTCCACTCAGGCGAAGACTAGTCTCAGGCAGGCAGGTGGCAATAGGAGTGAGAAAGACTGTAGCAAGTCAGGATGAGCAAGTGAGCTTAGGAGCAAAACAATCCCCAGCTCAGCAGCGACTGCCATACACTGAGCTGGGAAAGTAATGGCGGCATCCAGAGAAAAATGTACTCTTTCATTTATTTCTGCCTGTTATCTCACTTGGTCCTCTTGCTGGGTCAGGAGCAGATTACCACACCAAATCTTTCTTTTTAAGGTGAGGAAACTGAAACCCAAAGAGTTTCTACCCAAAGGTACAGATAAAGCAGAAGGCAGATCCATGACCCAAACCCAAGTATAACTTCTAAGCCAACATTCTTAACCACTTCTAAGAGGGACTGACTTTGAAGAAAGAGATGAGGAGATCAACTAGAAAAATGAGGAAGAACAAGTGGATGCCTGCTGAGAGAGCCCAGCAGTGGGTGAGGAATGGGGACTCCTGTGGACTCAGGGCTCAGGCACAGGGAGGAGAGGTAAAGCCATGAGAACAGATACAATATTTTCAGGAACTACTGGGAGCAAGATAGAAGCAAGAGGAGCTCCCACTTGGGAGAAGAAAGAGGCACCATCAAAGAAGATGGAGAAAGAGAACCCAAGAAGGTAGAGAAAGGACCAGGAAGGAAGAGTCTTAAGGAGCTGAGAGTTTAATTGGAGGGTGCAGGCTATCAATCCATTTCATAAATCCACTAATTGCCATCAATAAAATTAAGTTAATGAAACTGTGTTAGCATACCCAAATTTATTTCTACTTGACACAGTGTTTTGCATGTGAAATCAGTTTAATTAATAGTAATAGTAGCTAATTTTAATTAAGTGCTTAACTTCAGTCCAGTTATTATGCTAAATGCTGTGTATACTTTTTCAATTCATTCTTATAGCAATCCAGTGAGATTTGAAATTATTTTCTTCATCCCCATTTTAAGGATAAAAGAGTTGAGGTTTCAGAGAGGTTAGATAATTTGCCCAAGGTTGCAATCAGTAGCAGCTAGTGGGACAGGGAATCCAGGGCATCTAGACTCCCCAATTAGACCACACTGTTCAGTTCTTAGTCAGAAAATAGGGTGTAAGAACAAAGCACTTTTGTGTAATTGAGGTTTAATTCAATATTTTGATTGATTGAAAGTATTCTGGAGGTGACTGTTCAAAAAATATTCTGGAAAACACCATGGACTCTTTTATTAATTAGATGCAAGTCTGAAGTCCAAGTAATAACCAGAAATTTTGTTAAAACATACATGGCACAATTTAGCAACTCTATCAAGTATTTTCCAGCTACAATGTACTCCCAGACTCAGGCCTGCTTCTAATCCCAGCTGTGTAGCTTCCAGCGAGTCACTTTATTTCTGTGGGGTTCTGTTCTGTGGCCTATAAAACAAGGGGATTCAACTAGGACAGGGATGGGAGAGTCCATTTTCTTTCTGACCACAGAACTCGATTCAAACAAAATCTTACTTGGAATCCAATATTCAAAACGGACTCAAATTGTTGTGGGGAGGGAGGGAGGCCCCCAGGTCAGGACCTCACTAACCCTCCCTCACCCCCAGCTGTGAGGCCTTTCCAGGAGCCTTGGCTCAGAGTGAGGCAGTTCCAAGAAGCACAGGTGGAAAACCACTGCCCTGAGTTATCTCCCAAACTCCTGCACCCTCACCAGCAGGAACTGCCCTGCGCCTTTCACATAGTAGGCACTTAATAAATAATTGTGAGGAAACGCATGAAATATGACTCTGCCTTTTCGGAAATGTGGCTATGTAGTTTTCATTTCCTCTGCCGACTGACCCAGGTAGTTAAAGTGCTAAGATGGATCCTGGGGGAAACCAAATGTTACATTTATGGAAAAGCTGCTTTTAGATACTGAAGCGGCTTCCAAGTTCACCGTGGCCATAAGTTAAGGGTCTGTCAGCACTTCCATTATGAAAACCGCTTTGTGGTTTCGTAACTTAGCCATAAAAGTTTGCCTCGGGCTCTGCTTGGGCATACAAATTGAAAAGCTTGTTTTAAGCCAAAATGTGGGAATTAGAAAACAAACAATTTATTGGTTTCAGACATAGTTTTGTACCCGACTTAGCCAAACAAGATTTATTATGTGGGCAATTAGAGTGGACTAAACCACTTGGTTCTTGAAAAACAAAAATGGCCAAATTATTTATATTTCAAAAAGAGTCCCTGAACACAATCAATCATTCTTTTTAGTTATATTTTCATCACATACGCTGTATCACACATTGATGAAACAGTCTATTTATGTTTATTTGTTTAACATTTTCTGTTAATTTTATCAGAATGAAAAAATTGCCTTTGTCTTTACCAGAATACAAGAAATGTAAACAAGAACATTGTCAAAAAAAAAAAAAAAAAAGAGCTTTATGCTGCTTTTGATAATTTCTTTGAGGATGATGAGTGGCTTATTTTAATGAGCAAAAAAAGCATCCTTAATAAATTTTTAAAAAGTAAAGTAGGGTGGGCAATGAGGTTTTCTCTTACAACATTACAGATGGTAGAGACCTGAGATGTTACCTGGTCAAACCACTGACTTCAGAGACCAGGACATCGAGGTCCAACCAAGAATGACCTGCCAGAAGCATTCCTGCTGGCATTTAGGAAGCCGGAACCAAGGACTCCTCAACCCAGCTTGGTGACTGGCTTATCACTCTTTCCCACCATTCAAGTGTCCAGGATTCAACATTTTTTTCTGGGCCACCAGTGTTAGTACAACACACACAAATGCCCCCGCTTATGCAAGAATCCCCTTTTGCACACAGGATATAAGGCATTTTGTGACTTTGACTAGCTACATCACAAGTCACATGTCATTAGTACCCTTGTTGTAAATTTGTTTTATGTCCTCTTTAGGCCAGGCCCAGTTGTGAGCATCTAGAAATGGGAAGTTAGTTATCAAGGGCAGACTACTAAGGCACAGGCTCTAATCTCATTCAGGAGGGACACAGGCCTGGGCATGAAGAGCCAGCTTAACAATGAAGAAGCCAGTTCTGGCCCAGGCATGCCCTGAACCAACCAGGCTATTGACATCACAAATGTGCTGGTGACAGAAACAGATTGTTTATACATGAACCAGACCAAATGCTAGATAATACTCTGCTACAGCACTGGGGAACAGAAGCATCGGGTTCAAGATTTAAACCCTCTTTCTTTGACATTACCAAGGCACCTTGCACCACCCTCTCATACTGTCATCAATGTTTGCTACATATCTGTCTGTCCTTCCAGACTCTACTCTGTGGCATGAACCAAATCTCACTGCTCTCAGTGTCACAGGGGAGGTATCAACATCTAGTTGCGGAGTGAATGAATGAACAAATACTTGCACTCACTGGTATGTCCAATTTCTCTTTCAAAGTAGCTTTTCCATGTCTTTCCTTCATTATCCCCTCCACCTTATATAATGTCTCTGTTCACACGGAAACCATTCTGAACCCTCAGCAACCACCGCTTAGTTTTGCAGAAATATTTTTGGTAGAAAGAATGCAATTCTGTTAATAACCATCCAGTAAAAGTATTTTCTTAAGTCAAAGAAGAATCTGGGTCAGAAAAACAGGAAATTCTTAAATACCTGGGTAGAAGGTCACATCCCACTCCAATCTCTCTGGTTTCCACTTCAGTTTTGGATTGGGTTTCTGTTAAATAGTCCAACCTGCTTTGTAGCTCATTATTCTAGAAATAAGGGGGAAAGTACTTTTAGTCAACCAAATATTTTCTCATAAATATGCCATTTATACACATTATTTGATTTCCCCCTTATGATGTGGACATCTACCACAATGTATTTACTAAGTTATCTCTTATACAACAGAATGTGAACAAATACATTGATTGAATCCTTTTACATAAATCTGTGTGTGTACATACATGTACATCTAATTTTACATAAATGAAAACAACATATCCTAGTCTATAAAATAATCTGGTTTTTTTTTAGTCAACAACTTGTTATAGGTATCTTTCCATGTTTACTAGTTTTCTTTTTGTCAGCAAACTATTTTAATTGGTTCTTATTATTCCATCCTACAGATGTTCATTGTTTATTTAACTAGTCTCTTATTGATGGGCATTTAGATATTTATCACTTTTTTGCCATTAAAAATAAGGTGTCGCTCAACTTTTAACACTCCCCCATTAAACTATAAAATGAGTAAGTCTATTAATTTAATTTAGTGGGAAATACCTCTATAACTCAATAATTAGTATTTCATAGGTGTGGAAAATTCAAAATCTCAAACATATAAAATAGAACAAGCTCCTTGGGATTAAAATTAACATTCTGAATAGTTTCTTTTTTTCTTTCTTTCTTTTTTTTTTTTTTTAGTCCAGAGCCAAACATTACATAGGTAGATGATTAGATGTTCATGAACTGGAAATTTGTCCCATGGGGGAAATGAAGGACAAAGGTGGAAGAAAGTTGAGGATATGGGAATAAAAACAGATGAAGTGGTTGTATCTGAAATTTAAAGGGCAAATCACATAAAAAAATCAGAAGTGGTTATCTCTGTGTACTGAGGTTTTCAGATGCTTTTAAAGAAGTTTTTTAATATATATTTTTGGTAATGCTAGGCTAAATTTCCAAGAGGCAATGACAGCATGTATCTTCCTGGCTCTATCCTTGAAGCATGACATGTAGGAGATGTCAGATAAAATGTATCAAATAAATAAATAAATGTATAAATACTTTTACAATGTTATTTGTCTAACTAGAAAAAATTAAAGCATTTGTTTTTTCTTATTTTCTTTTTATTTATTGATTTATTTATGTAAATTTTTTATTTATATATGACAGAAGAATGCATTACAATTCTTATTACATATATAGAGCACAATTTTTCATATCTCTGGTTGTATACATAGTATAGTCACATCAATTCGTGTCTTCATACATGTACTTTGGATGGTAATGATCATCACATTCCATCATCATTAATTTTCAAGTTGGAGCTGAAGCTAAGGCTCTAGTCTAAGATACTTGAAAGCACAAGGAAGTTTAAACATCTTTTGAAAATAGAAGCTTATTTGTTTTGAAAAGAAATATGTAGGTTAGAGTCTGAAGCTCTCCCTCTGAAAAGGTGATACCAAGGAGCAAAGCAGCAGCTCTCATGCAAACCCGTGTTCTTCACGAGGTAAAGGTCTCAGGATCCCTTCTGATAATTAGGGAGCAAAGAAAGATAATGCATTCCAGATTCCCAAGAAGCTAGCCAGCTTTGACAGGAGTACGGGCTCCAAATCTTTCACCCACTCCTTAGTATGAAGAATAGTGTTGGCTTACTGCCAAGAGGATGTCAACATTCTCTCTCCTCCCTCTCTCTCTCTCTCTCTCTCTCTCTCTCTCTCTCTCTCTCTCTCTC